GGACCGATTCATCTCCAAGCCAGACGAAAAGCGAGAATTATTCGCCCGCGTACTCCTCCGAAACACGGACAAGGCCGGCGATATACCCAGCGAGCTGCGAGCACCGGGACCCGATCCGAAGCTCCCTTTCCCCCGTGTCACCGCAAAGGAAGTCCAAAGGGCTATCCTCCAGGCCGGCAACACCAGCCCCGGAACCGATGGCATTACAACTGCAGCCCTAACAACTGCTTGGCCAGTTATCAAAGAAGTAGTCATTGCGCTCTTCCGAGCCTGCGTCGAAGTTGGATGGCATCCTACATGTTTCAAAGAGGCAACGCTCGTTATTCTGGCCAAGCCAGGCAAAAAGGATAAAACGGCAGTACGCTCATATCGACCTCTTGCCCTCCTATCCGTACTTGGGAAAGGCCTTGAAAGACTTATTGCAAAACGCCTCTCCTGGGTCGCAGTAAAGCACCGAGTCCTGCATAGCCAACAATTCGGAGCGCTCCCACAACGATCGTGTAGCGATCTGATTTCAGCTGTAATCCATGATATAGAAACCGCTTGGCAACAAGGAAAATTTACCTCTATGCTGACGATGGACATCAGAGGTGCATTCGACTCCGTCCTACCAGGCAGACTGGCACAGCGCCTCCACCGACAAGGCTGGCCGGAAAACCTGGTACGCTGGGTTTATAGCTTTGCCACGCAGCGAAAGGGGAGAATACGGCTAGACGGGGAAACCGGAGACACCTTTGACCTCGAATGTGGACTTCCGCAAGGATCGCCCGTCTCGCCGATCCTCCTCCTTCTATATCTCGAGCCCCTATTTAAGCTGGGCACCTGCCGACCTGGACGCAAGCGCTCGCGATTCGGCTACGTGGACGACATAGCTATACTGTCAAGCTCTAGTTCCCTAGAAGAAAATTGCACTATACTGGCCGAAGAGTGGAAGGCAGCACTCGACTGGAGCATGTCTGAGGGTATCACGTTCGACCCCGACAAGACTGAGCTAATACACTTCACAAGAAGAGGGAGAGATGCAAACCCACCCATTACCACTACGCAACAGAATGGAACGATCCACACTGTTCAACCCATCAAAATCGGTGCTGCACTCAGGTGGTTAGGCGTCTACTTCGATAGAAAGCTTAGCTTCAAGGCCCATGTCAAATTCGTCTCAGCTAAAGCTCTACAAGTTGCTAACGGACTCCGGTCGTTAGGAAACACAATCAGAGGGACCCCAACACGACCACTCCGTCAAGCTGTAATCGCGTGCGTGCTCCCCGTGCAATTCTACGCCTCGGAAGCATGGTGGCCGTCTGCCAGACAGAACAAGAATGGACGCATTATCTCAAACCGGGTCCAATCCCTAGCTGACCAAATGGATCGAACGCAGAATACCGCAATGAGAGCCATGCTTCCTGTATATAGGACCACGCCAATACCGATCCTGCAACGGGAAGCGGCACTACCGCCAGCAGAAATCGCACTCGACGCAAAACTCTATGCGGCTTCTGTTAGATTACACAAACTGGATAGCCGCCATCCCTTACGCAGGAGGCTCAGACATCCTACGGGCCCCGATTCGAGGTTAAGGCGTATGGCGAGCCTAACCCCAGATACTGCAGAATATATGGATCCTCTGCAAATACCGCCCTGGGAGCAGGCTGGCGAATGGTCCATCACCCTCGCCAAAATCGGTTATATCCCAGGACAGTCAAAGGAGGAGGCTGCCCGCTCGTTTCTACAAAGGATAAACGAGTTTTCAAAGCGCGATATAATAATCTATACAGACGGCTCGCTGGCTACCCATAGCTACAGGACTTTAGCTGGAGCAGGCTGGGCTGGTTATCAGGCCGGTAAAAGACTACTCTGCGGGTCCGAACTACTGGGCTCTCAGATAGAGGTATACGATGCGGAAGCCCACGCAGCACTACGGGGGCTTCAGGAGGCTGTAAAGCTTCCGTCCAACAGCATGGCAGATAACGTCCACATCTGCCTCGATAATCTCGCGGTTGCGGGTAGGCTCATCTGTCCAAGTCCCGGAAGCAGTCAAGCAAAGTTCACCGCCTTCCAAGAGCTATCCAAAACCTGGTCACAGAGAGAGCGAAAACCCTGGACATCCCCGGGACAAGTGTATATCTGGTGGTGCCCAGGACACGTAGGCATCCCCGGAAACGAAGAAGCAGATGTCCAGGCCAAAGCGGCCTATGAGCAACCACCCAAGACACAACACCCGGCCTCATTCGCACATATTTCTTTACTGAGATCTGCCCATCGCACTGAACAGGAATGTTAGATGAAGACAGTCCCCTGTAACATAGATTCGACTAGCATTGACCATGCCGGCACTGCGCCCGGCACGTCTCACGTGATGAGACGTTAAATTTCAATCAATCAATCAATCAATCGATATGTTGGCAGAGAACATATCCAAGTGGGGATCAGTGAAGGAGAGACGGATATATAAGGGACAGGACTCCCAGGCATTTCATAGATAGACAGTCTCTACTTCAGTGATCAATCTAAGCATCAATCTAACCCATTGGTGAGGCAAACTGCCTTGACGACTCTATTCCCAGTTACCCTACTCGAATACTTCAGTTACCCAGAGCCCTATACTCCATACGTCAGACCCCGATATTATTGCTAAAGGACTCTGCAGCAGGACTTACTTACTAGCACAAACCCTTACAGACTCTTTAGTGGTTTACGCAGCTAGACTATTAGAGGTTTCGTTACATACCATCTCGGATGAGATTAAGCCCATCGTGAACCCTGTCTCGTCGAAGTTACAGATATCCGCCTCTTGGATACCATATTTCGCAATTGTATTTCGTACGAGCGTAAGCCACGCGCGATACGCTCAGGATCTTCGCAATAGGCTCGTTGGTAGTCGATTCTTCGATTAAAACGCGTCCGAAGGTCTGGTTGTCGTCGTACGAAGTTCGAGGCCCAGTTGATGCCGACGCGTCCAGCGCCACGGTCACGGAGCAGTCGGTTAGCCATAGCTTCAACACCATGGAGCCGGGGAGGAAATGATCGCGAATCTAGGTCAAGTATGTATTGTACGACCGCTAACTCTTCTGATTCCGTAAGCTTATGACTAGATTGTCGAGTATCGCGTCGAGATAGTAGTCCGCGTTTTCGGTTAGCTAGAGTTGTATGAGGGACATTGTAGAGTTGGGCAGTGTCAGATAGGGCACCTGGTTCCTAGGTTCAGAAATGATATGGCACTGGAGAAGACTATTGTCACTTAAAGTTCAGAAGGCGAAAGGAACCCCTTTTCCCAAAAGTAACACCAAAGTTACTGTCCACTTAGTGGTCAGACACCTGAACAATGTACCTCCGATATGTTCTAAAGAATCTATAAAAGGCAGAGCAACGGGAGTTCGCGAGAACAGAGAAGAAAGAGAACAATACACCTCATTCATATACAATCTTACGCACTTCTGACTACTCGATTGGACACACGTGATATTCGACAGGCAGCGCGTCGGATGCTTAATTCGGGTTTCGATTGAAGCGCCTGATACGCTAGGATCATGTCGCTTTATTTCCAATTCGATCCCATCTTGGTACGTGCAAAGATGTTAATTAAAAGGTTGTTCGTACGGTGCCAAGAAAAAGTGGCCAACTTGCTTGTGGGGTACGTTAGTCAGTAATTATAACGTGATCCACAAGTCATTTTCGCACACAAGTCACTTTCGCACTTTTCTTGGCACCTTCAAGTAATTCAGTAATATCCTATGCATAACCCGCATTTTATCCTTTAAATTACTCAAAATCTTCTTCATTATCAGTTTCTACTTCTATTGAACAAGTCCTTGCATTATGTCCAGTCCCTCCGCAAATTGTCGAATATCACGTGTGTCCAATCGAGTAGTCAGAAGTGCATAAGATTGTATTATGAATGAGGTGTGTTCTTCTCTGTGTTCTATTCTCGCGAACTCCCGTTGCTCTGCCCTTTATAGATTCTTTCGGAAATGTCGGAGGTGCATTGTTCAGGTGTCTGACCCCGAACTTCGGAGTTAGTTTCGGGAAGAGGGGTTCCTTTCGCCTTCTGAACTTTAAGTGACAATAGTCTTCTCTAGTGCCATATTATTTCTGAACCTAGGAACCAGGTGCCCTATCTGACAGGAAATGCTCGCGCATCTAGCTCAATTATACGTCGGGCAATCGTATACTCTTCGGTTTGAGTTAGATTTCGTTTTAACATATTAGCTTCGTGTCGCGTTTGGTCGCCGTCGAATCGATTCTTTAGTGTACGGTCGTAAACGTTGTAGATACGGCCAAGCTTACGCCATGAAATTTCAGGGTTGCGCTTTTTAGCTTGGATAGCTAGCTGAAGATCGGCTTCTTTGGATTTACGAGGCATGTTGTGGGAGGGAAGAAAAGTGCAAGCCAAGTTAAAAGGTTGAAATATTTGAAAAAGTGCGAAAGTGACTTGTGTGCGAAAATGACTTGTGGATCACGTTAGAGTAATATTATATTAAAGTACGTTGAAGCTGGCAATTTGTGTGTATCCTGGTCGATCTACCGCACTGGACTCATGTCACGAATGTCAAGTTCATTGAATTCGTGCCAAGTCAGCTGTGTGGTCAGATCTGTTGATTCGTGGATCGATTGATGATAAGTCTAGGTTTCTATGTAACGCGGTAACAGCGTTGGCTTTATTTCCACATTTGTGGGGCTTAGGGCAAGCCACACTCGGATCCACATTTGTGGCCTTGGAATGGGGTAGCCGCAGATACGTAGGTTAACTTAGTTGCTCCCCTAGCGTTGATTACTATAGAGCTATTCAAGTTATAAAAATGCTTATAGACCCGCCTTGGCATCCGGTTGACTAGTTTAACCCTTCCAAGTCCAGTTACTTCACACGCATATCGTGTAGCTCGATTAATAATTCAATGCTATTATGATCTACCCAAGTTTTGGCCATGTTTCACTGTAGACCAGCAGTAGGCAGGGCGAATATGTTGGCATTTGGCGTCTGATGCAGCCCAGTGGGAATTGTATCATGATTTCCTCGCGAGACGAATGTCATAGACCAGCTCAAGAGAAGCCTTCGAGTTGGCCTTGGTGGGCTTGAAGTCTACAAGTAGGTCATCCTTAACGGCAAACACCGAGTCGTCGATGAGGTATTTGCTCTTCTTGTCGAATATCTGAGTCGTCAGAGGCGTGTATTCGTTGTTCCCAGCCTTTGAGGGGATAGGTGTTAGTTCCGTTATTTCATGTTAAACGTGGCTCAGAGGAGCGAAGGACTCACTATAATATGAATATGCGCAGGACGGAATGGATGGCGATCTAAGAGCTGGAGGAGCTTGCCAGCGGGACCTGGGTAGTTGATCAGATTTGGTCACTTGCACATGAAGTAGGGTGTGTGCTTGAAGCTCGCTTACCGTCATCCGGGACCGGATAGGGTACGGGTCTAAGGCAGTATAGGCCGTAGTAGCCGTTCTTATCAGTGGTGAACTTGCCGCGAAGATTGAACTCGGTCTGAGCAGGGTCTTGCTGCTCATAGAGGCCGTTGGTGCTACATTGCCATATATCCACGATGACATTTTCGATAGGCTTGCCCGTGACCGCATCTCGGATAATGCCATGCATGTACGCAATTTCACCATCGGAAGGCATGTTCTTGATGATGCTGGCGTCGTTATGTGTGGAAGGCGTGTCGTGGCGGAAGAAAGGCCCCTGTGTGGACTTTAGTCTCGCTCTTGATGCTAGGGGAACTGCCTATGTGCTGTCACAAACCAGGATGGCCGACTTAGTTAATTCATAGTCGGCGCCGGCACCGACAAGGAGCTTGTTAGTTATTTCGTCAACGAGTCTATGTTGATATTTCATGAGCTTCACATTGTCATACCGGCCAGATTCCCGAAATTGGTCACTCACGATTCGAGACCGATGACATCGCAAAGCAGTTGACTTTCATTCCTACGCTCGTTGCTCATCTGGCCGGCCCAGTTGATCATCTGCACAGCCTGCATCCACTCGTCTATGGTGATATCGTTCTCGCGAGCAAAGTCGTGGACATGGCGTATCAGACTGGCCATGACACTGCGCATACGGGGGCTCGCATTGGGCCCCGTAGCACTGATAACACTGTCCGTGAACTCGGGGTCGTACTGCGGCTTTTGCTTGGTCGAGCCATTGCTATTGCCATTGGCAGAAGGAGTCGTGTCGTTGACCATTGTGACGATGTATAATACTATACGGATGTGTGTTAGAGGCAAAGCGACACTAGATGTGAGGGGAGAGGGTGCGCTGTAATGAATGAAGCAAGATGGAATCCAAGGGCAACTTGGTCCCCTTTCTCCACTTGCCGTGACAGTAGCGATCAAATGCCGTCTGGCGAGATTCCCACTCCTAATACAACGACCATCATTTGCTGATTTGTCGAGCAGAGCTCCATCTGACGGCATGAGCTGGCGGATGTGACATATCCCGCCGGTCCCGCAACTCTCTCCACTGTGTGGTTGGCACTGACTAGTGGGATCCCCAGCTTCTTGGCTGATTATTTCAATTGCTCTGCAGTGGTGCGGGGCTGTATGCTAGAAATATGGACTATGGAGCATCCGCGTCTCGGTCTTGTGCTCATATACCATGATCCGAGTTGGCGAGTTGGCGAGTTGACGAATATGTTATGGTGGTGGAGATGGTGGTGGAGATAGCTCCGCCAAGGTGGAGTTCAGGGCAGGCGGAGTGGATCCCCGGATGGCTATACCGACAAACCGAGTCCCGAAGAGGCGAGTGAGGATGTAATTGCGTAGGAATGCGGAGGAACAATAGTTCGAGGGTGTCATCTGCAGTGGGTCGTACCCGCACCCTCTCGACAGAAGACAAGTTGGAATCGGCATCGGCGCAGCAGATAAGCAGAGGGCTAACAGGGTTCGATGCCGCCGCAGCTCATTCAGGGCAAGGAAAGACAGGCGCAAACAAAGTAACCATTGAGTCGATGCCATCAGACGACGCCAAGAAAATGCCAGCTGCTTATTCCTCCTGCGAGGAAGCCAACACGATCCTCCAACTCCTTACCGGACTATATTCCCACGACACAGACTCCCTACCAGCAGAAATCGTAGGAGCAAGACAACATGTCTGTTTCCAGTCACAGAGGGACTTCCCCTACTTCCCAATCCCCTTCAAGGAGACTGAGACAGCATCGGCGCTTAAGGCGGTTGAGGGACTTGCCGCTGCTGTGCTAGCTGATCTGAGGGATGTTGAGAGCCGGGATAAAGGTCGACGAGTGACCATCGACCTGGAGAAGACGACGGCCTTCTTGTTTCAGGCATATATCGCAACCGTCAATGGGCTGGGGAAGCTCGATCCCGAGGTGAAAAAACTGTTGAAGGGTATGTCTAGATAGCTTGAGACAGGGCAGGGCCAACTGCTGATTTGAAGTTTCTCTGTAGATACCGACCTACTCCAAGCACAGTCAGACAGTTACCGACGAATGTCGGCCAACTTGTACGAGACCAAGCGATCAGGAGAGTACTACCACATCCACGGTTCGCTCGAGGCGTCGACTACGCTGCGCATGATCGGGCTTGAGCCCTTCAGGCCCGATCTCAAGACGCACGAGGCCATTGTGACCACGATAGAGACGGCCGTCAAGGGTTTCACGGTAGTGGAGCTCGAGGCCATGAACGCCTCCAACCGACAAGCCGGCGTCCCCGCATTGAAGCACGAGGATTTCCTCAAGACATCCCATGTGCGTCTCCCTGTTTTTCACTGTATTCTTCTTCTTCTTCTTTTAGTTCTCCTTTTCGTCTCTTTCTAAGCCCAATCACGCCAATAGGGACAAGTCAGCTCAAAGTGCACCCCATGGACGGTGCAACAGCTTGAATTTAGTACACCCCCGTCGCCTCTTCCTCGCACGACTCAACCCCAAACGGAGGATGCGTGCCGGCCTCTGGCGGGCATCAAAGTGCTGGAGCTATGCCGTATCATCGCCGGTCCCGTCATCGGCCGAATCCTGGCTGAGTATGGAGCCGACGTGCTCAAGATTACGGCGCCCAACCTGAGTGATGTGCCCTTCTTCCAAGTGGACGGCAACATGGGCAAGCACGCGGCCGAGCTGGACCTTAAGACAGCCAAGGGAAAGGCCCGCTTTGAGGACCTGCTGGCCGATGTCGACATTGTCGTCGATGGCTACCGGCCCGGCGCTTTTGACAAGCTGGGATACGGTCCCCACGCCTTGAGCAAAATGGCGGCGAAGAGGGGCAAGGGCATCGTCTATGTTAACGAGAGCTGCTTCGGGTTCGAGGGCGAGTGGGCCGCAAGGCCGGGCTGGCAACAAATCGCCGACTGCGTGTCTGGCGTTGCCTGGGCTCAGGGAAATTTTATGGGCCTGTCAGAGCCCATTGTGCCCCCTTTCCCCATCTCCGACTATGGCACCGGCTGCATGGGCGCCATCGCCGCTCTCGTCGGTCTTCTTCACCGCACAAAGCGAGGTGGCTCGTGGCACGGCAAAACCTCCCTGCTCCAGTACGACCTGCTTCTCTTCCGCGCTGGTCTCTACTCCCAACCCGTCCAGCATGAGTTGCGTCAACTAGTAGGCGAAGAGTTTGCCAACCTGAGACATAGCAACAGCGTCGATCAGATCAGCGGCACTGCTCTTCGAAGCATGCGCAAAAAGTTCCCAGACTTTTTCACTCGCAAAGACCTGTGCGACACCTGGTACTCGGCTGCGTACGGCGGAGACATCACCGCCGTAAACCCCGTGGTCAGCATCGACGGCGTTCAAACTGGCTTCCAGAGAGGTAGCAGGCCAAATGGGTCAGACGCCCCGACATGGGATTTTGGCCAAGATGATGACGTCCGTAAGACGAAGGAGTAAGACGATATGTTGGGGGATAACCATATAAGTGTAGGCAGAATAAAGCAGGAGATATCTTGAAGCAGCATGAACTGTGCAAATGACATACTCGGATAGTACTCGGGAAACTGAGAGCCTACTTGCTTGAGTAAGATGAAAGGCCAGATTGCAGGTTGACTATGCCGCTAGCTGTGACACTTGAGTTGCAAACCCCGCGATAGCTTCGCCCATGACGCCAGGCGATTCAATACAATGCCAATGCCCCACTCCATCAACGATTTGGAGCCTCTTCTTTCCGCGAACGGTCCCACACCTAGAACGAGCAAAGTCAGCACGAAGCACATGGTCTAATTTGGCGTTGTGGCTTACTGTTCGAGTATGATGCGGCAGCCATCCAAGGGCGCCGACTTGGTATAAAGTTAATGACTATAATCGTTGTAACGTTCAGGGATGTAAAACCAAGCACTATACCTTGTCTTCTCCTCCAGCCAGTATCAGGACCGGGCATTTCACCCTGTCGTAGTCAGGAGGGCTTGCCTTGGCAATCACCTCACAAAGCGACGCGTAACCCAGTACGTCCTGGGAAAGGAGCAGAGAACGAATCATCGCATGCTGAGCTGCCGTTGATTGAGAGCCCGTGGCAGCTCTTGGTATCGTGTCCGCCATGGCTTCCATGCCCTCTGTAACGACGGCCAATTAGCAGTTCCTCCTGCATAATGACTGATTCTCGTGTGGACAGCTTACCCTGCTTCACCACCTCTATGCGTTTCGAGAATATACCGGCTACACCTGGGTTGGGATGCACAGGTCCCAAGAGGACCAGACCGGCCATGCTCTTTCTCGATGCCAGCTCGCAAGCTACCATACCCCCCATAGAATGGCCTACGAGTACGGTCCGCTCGGGCACGAGGTGCAATTGTTCCATTAGACTCAAAGCATCCTGAGTCATGGATTTTACATCTTGTCCCTTGCCCGAAAAGCTCGACAGACCACTACCTACACCATGTAAAACGTAGTTAGCAACACGATGACCATTCTGGGGGCTTGCCTATAACCCGAAACCAACCGTGCGTATCGTAGGCGACGTATGCGAATCCAGCATCGACGAGGGTCGGCAGGATTGGGCCATAGAAAGCGTGTGTGGAGCCAAGGCCATGGATCATGAGTATAGTGAGCTGTCCGTCTTTGGCATGGTCCGCCTGGCGATGCGTGTAAAAGAAGCGCTTTCCCTCTGCTGCTTGAAAGAACGGCATGCTGATCATGGACAAGGAAGGGCTATAGTGGTAATGCAGCGGGATAATTACGAAGTTCGGCATGGGTACTTAGAGAGGAAAACAGCTACTAACGACCTGCTCCACGGCCGATACCCGCATGCAAGCAAGCCCAATCCGTGCGGTGGCGTGCCTTGGGTAGCACCGAGTTTATAGACGTAACACCGAAGTTTCTCACTTTCAAGTACCCTCTCTTACTTAGGTATATCCACATTGTCAGTGGAGTCTGCAGCCCACCTGGGCTCGGTTTTCCAGCAAACTGCTCAAGCTAGTTGACAATAGCTACGTCATCGTACAGTATACTGTGTGGGCATGAACGCTGAATCCATCTTTCGCGTAACTAGCAAACACGGCTATTCAGCGAGGTACCACAATACTCGGTGAGTCAGAAACCTCGGCAGCTTCTATAGAAAGCATAGAGTGTAGAATTATGCGTGTACTCTGAGCAGTATAACAACAGCACTCTTAGGACAAAAACGGACACCCATAACCCTCCACAAATTGTCGCCGCCCCAGGACCGAAGCTTGTCCTAAATAGCAATTTATGATACTACCCCTCGCACTACTGACCTCAATCCTGGGCCCTTTTTTCCGGCTTCTCCCGCTCATTTTTGAATTGCTCAACTACCATGTTTCTCACAAGCTGCTGGTAATGAATGACGCCTGTCTCCTTGACCGGGTTCAGTATTCCCTGGCAGTACACGCCACTCTCCAGATTAGCCTGCGCCTTTTCACACAACTCATAATCCTCCAGAGCGACTTTCCGAACAAAATTGAAATATTGTTCAAATGCTTCTCCGTCCTTCTCGTGGTAATAATCAAATTCCATCCTCGTCACGGAAGGTGACGTGGACGAGGGACAGACGCGAAAGGAAGACATGCCGCCACCGTACACGTTGAGAGTACAGTTGGGGAAAAAGTAAAGAAAGAGACCATCGTCAGGCTTGGCCGGGTCCGCAATATGTTGAGAATAGTTACCGTAGTTGTGGACAGCGTAGAACCCCGGCGGATAGAGAGCGGAGAACGAGCGATGCGTGTATTGGCAGTGCAGGCATTCTTGATAACCATCCACCCTTGTTAGTCCGTTAGTCCGAGTTCATCATGGATGCGCGACACCAGAGTGGAAATTGAGAAACAGTCTGGCTTACATGGTCTTCCAATTAAAACGTCCCTCGTATGACAGGGTTCGCTTGAAAGGCAGCTTTGTGAAATCGACCCTGTCTAAGAGTTTCTGCAACCCGGGAAAGAATTCTTCGAAGCTAGGAGCATCTGGCAAAAGCGCCGCAAAGACGAGGCCATTCGGCGTCAGCCTGTGAGGAAGAGATTGGCCCTGCCATGGTGTCAACTTGGTGTCTCGGCAAAGCTTGGTGAGACAGATACATTAGACCGGTTGGTGACGCTAAAATCCAGCCCGTCTCGCTCAATCTGGATTTCGATGCCGCAAAACTCGTAGTTGACAGCTTCATCTTGAGCAAATCTTGTTACCGGCCCTAGGAGATACCAGGACTATGAGGAGCTCATAATATCAGCGACCATGCGCACCAGGGACATACATGTACTCCGAAAAGATGTCTTGCCTTCAGGAACACAGCTCGTCGTTCGAGTTCGTACAACGGCTTGGAACTGTACCAGGACGCTGGCAGTGTCTTGGTCATATCAACCATCTCGGAGTGTTGCGCTTCAACGTGTAGCTAACTCTAACAACGCCGGGGAGTCAAACACATACTCATTCATGTTGTATATTGGACCACCCTCGTGCATCTGCAAGGATCATGTCACGCCAGGTAGAGCATGATGCCTATTTCGGTAAACAGATCCTCTCTTATCAGTTGAACGGACGTATGACTTTTAGCCGAAGATTACTAACGGGCGGGACAAGAGCTTATTGGTCAGTTGCTCATCGTCATAAGCCAGCCCTGGTTGGAATTTCCCATTTGGGTTGACTTAAGCTTCTACTTGACATGTCATACCGCATAATTAGTCCTGGGATAGACTACTTTAGAGTTCTCCCACCTTTAATAGACCAATGAGCTAAGTGCAGGTCAATAAGTATTTGGGTAAGTGACATATTAGTGATTACCAGCAAGTTTCGAGTCCAGCTTATGACCGCCTTTAATACTTCTTCAAGATCACGAGGAATCGGGTAAAGTCTAGCGTTGCTGGCACCGCACTTCTTGAAATCTCATAGGAAATATGGCCGAACTCATTATACCACCGCTTCTACTGCATCAACATGTCCACATTCTAGCCGTGGCCGCATGTGTGGGAGCCATCGGATTTGTGATTATCAGATACTTTCTCGCATCAAAAAGAGATGGATGGCATACATGGGCCGCGCGTAGCTTGGGTGCGGGGATAGGGCTGGATGCGGCGGAGAAGGGTGACACGGACAGATCATGGCGATCACTCGCAGAAGAGGTTCCATATGACCTCGAAAAGAGAGCTATTATGCACAAGGTAACAGTCGTAATACGTTTCCTCGGCCCGATCAAACTAACAGTGTCTCATAGAGATGGCTCATGGTCGCCCACGACTCTGAATTCTCGAAGCCAGGCGACTATCGCACGTACACAATCGCCGACATCCCGTTCCTCATTATTCGAGGCAAGGACGATAATAAGCTCCGGGCCTTTCACAATGTCTGCCGGCATAGAGCATACATGGTGGCGCGTAAGACTAGTGGCAACTCTGGTTTGCTCTCATGCAAGTACCATGGGTGGCAGTACGAGTCAACCGGCCGACTGTTTAAGGCACCAGAATTCATGGACAAACCAGGATTTGACATGTCGACCAACGGACTTTTCGAGATCCACCTGAGGATAGATTCGGGCCGCTTTGTCTTTGTCAACTTTGCGACAGAGCTGGCGGATGCGTTCCCCTGGAGCGACATTTCGTCGCCATCGTTGCAGTCACTAAAACTTGTAGATACGATAGCCTGGGAGGTGGTGTTTAATGTGAGCTGGAGGATTGCGAGTAAGAAGCACACTATAACTGTTGTATTGCGTTCTTGCTAACAGCTCGAGGTCTATTGCCGTGGTTCTTGAACCCCTTGCGGCTGACGACGTCTTCTTGGCAGCACACACTTGTCAAATATCTTGCAGAAGGCCCATCCTCATCCCCAAGGCTCCAATATGTGGACGACACATCCTTCATCTGCTGTCTTGGTAGCGGGTGTTTCCTACTCGTATCAGCTTTGCCATTAGACGCCACCAACACAGTTGTCAAAATCACATATATAGCGGCGCCTGGCATGTCTCCACCTAGCAATATGCAAAATCTGGTGAACATCGAAATCACATCAGCCCTAAGTATGCTGAAGAAACACCAACCGCCAAATACAAACCTCGATTTCCGGCAGAGCGCCATCCGAGAGAGACTTGACAAGTTCGCTCGCCACATCGACCAGCATAGGCGTTTGGAGAAAGCAGCTAGGCGGTTGATCAATCCTGCTGTGAGGGTAACTGGACATGCTAGTGAGGATAGGGAGGCTGAATTCGTTTGCAACGCTCTTGAAAATGCTCAAGGCCCACTTGGAGCAGCGTGTCCTGTCGCCCGAATCCCGGACTTGGAATGGTGAAGTTGCATGATATAACTTTTGAATAACTACCTAGCTATCTAAGAAGATATAACAGGTACTAGGGTATAGGCCCCTAGTTATCAAAACCTTTGTCGGCTGGTGTAGTTGGTCACTTCGCTGGTAGATAAGTCCCGATTTGAGCCTCGCCCACTTGGGTCGGTGACGAGTCGCGGGTTCGAATCCCGCAGCTGACACACAAGGGGGTTTAGTCAACCCTTACGGCGCGCTGCCCACCTTGTTGACTTCGCCTACCTAGCGATAATAGGGAGATTGGTGCAGTTTAGGATTACGAGCATCCTAGCCAGTCGACCGTCAAGCACTACGTCGGCGGAATATAACTCGACAGCCGGTCCAGAATTCGAATCGTTAATCCGACCCCTTATCGGACCTCGCCTTTCCGATAACGCTCGTCGGCGAACCCGTCCCCTCACGATAGAAGGCGCGCAGCACGCCCTCTCGCCGCGATTCTTGCGAGCGTCTGACCACGTTATATCAGATAGGGCACCTGGTTCCTAGGTTCAGAAACAATATGGCACTAGAGAAGACTATTGTCACTTGAAGTTCAGAAGGCGAAAGGAACCCCTCTTCTCAAAAGTAACACCAAAGTTACCGACATGTTCTAAAGAATCTATAAAAGGCAGAGCAACGGGAGTTCGCGAGAACAGAAGACAGAGAACAAGACACCTCATTCATATACAATCTTATGCACTTCTGACTACTCGATTGGACACACGTGATATTCGACACATAGTGCTGTATATAGCAGTTAGTGGGACCGATTGCCAAATACTGGTAATTATCTAACTCAGGAGGAAAGTAAAATAAGCGAGTTTTCCGAGAACACAAACTATGTTTTTATATGCCCTCGATGGTTCCTTTGTTGGATCCGGATGCAAGGTTCTTGCAGCTCTGGATCCCATTTCAGGCACAGCCTGTCACATTAATCAGGACTATAAGCGGGCTAATCGATAGTCTATATGCTGTGGGCTTCTAGCTACTCTTGCAAAGTCTTAGAGGTATATATTCTAGTATTATCCTACTAGAAAAAGATACTAGGAGTATATACTAGTAGTAAGGCTTCCTCTAGAGCCTATATATATGACCGGGAAGAAAAGCCGTGTCGCGCTACGGTGGAATCCCGCTCTATAATAACGATATTAGACCGCCTAACCTGAATGTACACCGAGCTGGCCATGTCACCGAGCTGGCCACTTTCATGCGGCAACGCGACCGACCAACTTCATCTTTGATTTTCTCAACAACCAATTATGGCAGTCATACAACGAAGCAGACTTAATGCTAGCCCTTCAAGCTCTCAAAAATGACCAAAAACTTAGTCTCCGACAAGCGGCAAAAACGTACCAAGTCCCCCGAAGCACCCTCCAAACGCGTAAAAACGGCGTACCTTTCCGACGCGATATTTTGCCCAGTTCACGAACTATGACAGAATTAGAAGAGGAGGTCATTATCAAGCATATACTGGACTTAGATGCACGAGCGTTTCCGCCCCAGATTGCTGATGTGGAAGCAGTGGCAAACCCGACCGTGGGTATCAAAGACGCCACAGAACCCGATAGAGGCTCATGAACAGTCTACTTTTTTGAAAAAGCGCATCTCCGAGCATCAGAATAGCTCTCCGACGAATATTTTCTCAGCTGTCGACCAGTTTGCGAAGGGAGCAAAAATGATAATGCACGAGCTCGACCTCGTACGGGCCGAGTGCGCTGAGCTTGGAGAGGCAAATAAGATGCTAAGCCGGCGCCGGAGGACTAAAAAAATGCAATTACGGGAAGGAGAATCACTTATTTTCCAAGAAGGACAGGACATACGGGACTCTAGGGAGTTGGCGACGCAGATACAGCAAGAAGAGCGCCGAAATGGTGGTCGCGCAAAGCGTGTTGAAACGCGCCCGAGGCGCTGTGGTATTTGCAACGGGACTGGGCATAATGCGCGAACTTGTAAGATCGCATTGCCATCTTCTGGAGAGGAAGATTCAGAGTAGTTTCAATTGATTTACGGCGTTGTGGTTTTACTATCGTAAAATTTATATGCGAGGTTATGTAAGGGTGGCCAGCTAGGTGTACATTCACGTTAAGGGTTTCTATAATTCTGATAAGATAGGTTTGATAACAACGGGGTTTACAAGCGAGTCGCGTACCTAAGCAAGTACGTACTTCTCAATATACGATATCTTTAAAGTCTAATTACGCAACTATAAGGCTATAAATCAATTTAAATTAATCTACATCTAATAAATTAGTTGATTATATATCTTTAACAGCTTCAAGGCCCAGATAGCATCGATCTTCTCAGGGGGGACTTTGTTGGTAGGTTGAGAACCAACGTAGTATGGTAGTGAACGCAACGCAGTCGCCAATAGGGCGAACCGACGACGCAGCGTATGTATTTAGTCCAGCCATTAGGGCACGGTTTGACATACGGGAGTACTAGTAGAGGTACCGGGGGCTTCGAGCCTACGGCGTATTTAATAATAATAATAATAATAATAATAATAATATTAACGTGATCCACAAGTCATTTTCGCACACAAGTCACTTTCGCACTTTTTCAAATATTTCAACCTTTTAACTTGGCTTGCACTTTTCTTCCCTCCCACAACATGCCTCGTAAATCTAAAGAAGCCGATCTTCAGCTAGCTATCCAAGCTAAAAAGCGCAACCCTGAAATTTCATGGCGTAAGCTTGGCCATATCTACAACGTTTGCGACCGTACACTAAAGAATCGATTCGACGGCGACCAAACGCGACACGAAGCTAATATGTTAAAACGAAATCTAACTCAAACCGAAGAGGATACGATTGCCCGACGTATAATTGAGCTAGATACGCGAGCATTTCCTCCTCGGCTTCGATACGTTGAAGAAATGGCGAATATCCTACGACGCGTACGCGACGCGCTCCCCGTCGGCAAGAACTGGACCACGAACTTCGTTAACCGCCGACAAGACCTCCGAACGCGTTTAAACCGTCGAATTGATTACCAGAGGGTATTTAGCGAAGATCCTATCGCGTATTACGCGTGGTTTGAGCTTGTTAGGGACACAATCGCTAAATACGGTATCCTACCGGAGGATATCTACAACTTTGACGAGACGGGCTTCCTAATGGGCATAATCACAACCGGTATGGTTGTAACGAGTGCAGAAAGACACGGACGGCCTAGACAGGCTACACAAGGAGGTCGGGAATGGGTTACGGTGATCCAGGCTATTAATTCGCAAGGTTGGCCGGTACCGCCGTACATCATCTTCGCGGGCAAGGTTCATCTTGCTTCGTGGTATCGCGGTAACGACCTACCGGCCAACTGGAAGGTCGACCTTTCCCATAACGGTTGGACTACTAATAATATTGGTGTGTAATGGGCAAAACACTTTGTTCAACATATTATTAGCCGTCGGAAGGGTGCGAAAAGTCTCTTAATATTGGATGGTCACGAGAGCCACCACTCGATGGATTTTGAGACTTACCTCGCGGCGCACGGCGTAATTACATTGTGTATGCCTTCCCATTCATCCTCACAAGCTCCAGCCTTTGGATTTGGTATCTTTTAGTGTGTTGAAACGGCTGTACGGTGCGTTCGTGGAGGGTTTAAGGCGAAGGCATCAAACCCATATTGAGAAGCAGGATTTCTTAGCTGGGTTTTTAGAAGCTTTCATTGGTGCTTTTCACGAAAAAAACATCAGATCAGGATTCGAAGCAGCTGGACTTGTTCCTTTTAACCCGGATAGGGTCATATCTACGTTGGATATCGCAAAAGTAGTACGAACACCGACACCCGACCCCCAATTGCCTCCCTCCGTCTGGGTTTCTAAGACGCCTACCAACACCCTCGAAGCCGAATCGCAGTCAACTTTGATTAAAAGTAGCGTCCAGAGGCATCAAGACAGCTCGCCGACGCATATTTTGAACTCAATTAACTCGACTACGAAGGCTACGCATGCAATGATGCATGAGAATGCATTATTACGTCGGGAGAACGAAGAGCTTCGTGAGACGAACCATATACTAAGTAAGCGTCGGAGGACGAAAAATAAGCAAATCCAATATGGAGGAGCACTTAGTATAGGTGATGCACAAGTTTTACGGGCCTTGAGGGGTGATATCAAGGTTATGGAGGAGGAAGAAGGGGAAAGCAGTCGTCCTGTAAAGCGCCGGCAGACCGGTATAAGGCGCTGTGGTATTTGCGGAGGGACTGGACATAATGCAAGGACTTGTTCAATAGAAGTAGAAACTGATAATGAAGAAGATTTTGAGTAATTTAAAGGATAAAATCAGCGCCCAACCGGTAGACTGGACCGCTTGGATTACGGTAACCCATTCCCGGTTACCTTGCTGTATTGATTTCGGCCTGGCACATCGTTCGGAGCTCGTAACTACTATATTGGTTGAGATCTTGCCCATCATAAACCCTGTCTCGTCGAGGTTGTAAATGTTCGACTCTTGGATACCGTATTTCGCGATAACATTCGCAACAAGCCGAAACCAATCTGCAATAAGCTTTGGATCTTCGCATTGGGCCCTTTGGTAATCGTAAGGACGGTTCCAACAAGTTTTCAACTCTTTGCGACGTGCACGAACCTCGAGGCCCAGCGCGTTCCAATGGGCCCTGCGTTACGTGTAGCGCGGATAGAATTTGCCATTGCTTCCACATCAGCAATCCGGGGCGGAAACGCTCGTGCATCTAAGTCCAGTATATGCTTGATAATGATCTCCTCTTCTAATTCTGTCATAGTTCGTGAATTGGGCAAAATATCGCGTCGGAAAGGTACGCCGTTTTTACGCGTTTGGAGGGTGCTTCGGGGGACTTGGTACGTTTTTGCCGCTTGTCGGAGACTAAGTTTTGGTCATTTTTGAGAGCTTGAAGAGCTAGCATTAAGTCTGCTTCGTTGTATGACGTTGCCATAATTAGTTGTTGAGAAACTCAAAGATGAAGTTGGCCGGTCGCGTTGGCGCATGAAAGTGGCCAGCTCGGTGTATATTCACGTTAG